CGGGTCGCCTGAAGTCTTCCCCTCCCCTTTCTCTCCGCACTCGCGGGGCGCCGCGTTAGGGTGCGAGGGAGACAGAGCGACGGAACTGACTCCGCGGCTCTGCGAGACGGGCTAATTGACGGAAGAGTTTCTTTTCGTTTTCGGCTGTTGCCTGCCCTGTCGTTTCGTCTGCATGCTTTGATCCTCTCTTCGCTCGTCGGAGGAGGGAGAGAGAGGAGGGAGAGAGAGAGAGAGTAGGGCGAGTACGCAGAGGGCTGGCCGTGGCGAGAGGCGCGTGAAACGCATGTATAGGTGGGGACGGGGTAGAAGGGGGTGGGGTGGGGGTGGGGGGCGTTACCGGTCCCCCGGCTCCGCAGCTGTGGTTTAGTAGTCGCTGTGGAACATTAACGCAGTTGGGTCCAGATACCGACCACGCCCACCCCACCCCGCCCCGCCCACCCCACCCCGCCCCCCCCCCCCCGCCCCGGCCAGCGCGGCCAGTTGCAGCGTTGCCTGTGGGGCGCAAGTGAGTGAGATGGGTCCCCGAGGGCCGGCCAGCTGAAATTCGATTCCGTCCCGCTGCTGCAGTCAGAAGGATAACGACCTTTTTTCTGCGTGTGCGAGAGAGACGGACTCTGTGTGTGTGTGTATATATTTTGTGTGTGTGTGTGTGATGTGTATATGTTGTAGTGGTGTGTGTGTGTGTTAGGAATGCCAGTTGAACAAAGGGTTAGCCCGTTTCCTATGCACGTGGCGCGACCTTTCAGCGAGCCCTCCAGTGTACTGTCCGCCTGCAGGCCATCTCCTTGGATGATGCCCTCCGGAAGGTCAGCAGCTAAGTGGGTCACCGGTCATCGAGACCCGCGTCATCGCCCGCCTTCGACGTGCCAGCAGACCGATTCCGAGAGTCGTTTTCGTCGCTCTGTCGCTCTCGCACTCACGGGGCGTCCCGTACAGTTGCGAGAGAGACAGAGCGACGTGAACGACTCTCGGAATCGGTCTTACACTGTCGTGTCACTGCGACGTGTCATACTGCGACGTGTCACGTGTCGTTTATAAATAGCCCCTCCTCGGTAACGGCTCCCCCAGGAACGAGCTGGGCTCGGACCGCAAGTCGCACTGCAAGTTACGTCAGCGAATCGGTCACTTTGCTGAATTTTTCAGCGCGGTGCGTTGCGCGGCGCTGCGCTGCCCTGGCCGCGTTATGCTGGCCACGCACGCTATCTACACACTGCAGGCAATGGGGCCTGGCCCTGCCGGCCGCCCTGGCCGCCCTGGCCGCCCTGGCCCCGCCGGCCCGGGCCCTTGAGCTTCTTTCTCATGCAAAGCACAAACACACGCACACACCGCACGCGCCGCGCCAAAGACGGACGAGAGAGAGAGAGAGAGAGAGAGAGAGAGAGAGAGAGAGAGAGAGAGAGAGAGAGAGAGAGAGCAGAAGCTGGGCTGGCCGAGCACGCGTTTCTGAGTGGGCCAGAAGACCGGTGGAGGCGGGCAAAATCCCGGACGTGTTTTGAGCAAAAGAATCGCTAAATGGGACTCAAACCGAGCGTGTGACCCCATCAATGGATTGCTCTCCGAACGAAGAATCAAGAATCCATTGGTGGGGTCACAAGTTCGGTTCGAGTCCTGTTTCGCGACTCTGAGGCTCAAAACGAGTTTAGAGTAAGCCGCCTCCACCGGTCTTCCGGCCCACTGTGCGTTTGCGTCCGTGCGTCCCCAGCACGGCGGTAATGGGTCCGGGGCGAACGCGCCGGGCTGCAACTGCTCGCGTCACAAGGACAGGTAGTTAATGGGTTGTTATCGGAGTGCAAGCGCTGTGCAAGCGCTGCACCGCTGCGCCACTGTCGAACGGGCGTTGGGGAAAAGGACGAAAAAGAGGAGCAGTGCCACAGCCAGAGCAGCAGACCGATTCCGAGAGTCGTTCTCGTCGCTCTGTCTCTCTCGCACTCACGGGGCGTCCCCTGTAGGTGCGAGAGAGACAGCGCGACGAAAACGACTCTCGGAATCAGTCTGCAGCGCGGAGCAGCGCGTTGCATTTAACCGTTTAACCGGCGCCGCGCTCTTGCTTTTTCCCTCCCTCCCTTTGTTTTCTTACAAAGCAAGAGGCGGGGCGAAATGAAAGGACGGCGGTTTTCATACACGCGACACAGCGCACGCACACGCTCTCACAATACGCACTCACACCGACGCGCGGACGCGCACAGACACGGAGAGTGTGGCCCTTGCCTGCCGGGCGGTGCGGGGCGGTGCGGGGCCCCGCGGCCGGCTTGGCACGTCACTTGGAGTGGAGACGGAAAGACGGAGGGGCTTGGCGCCGCGTGGCGCCGCTTGGGCACGGCCGGGCACGGCTTGTGCGCCTCGCCGAGGCACAGTGGGCCAGAAGACCGGCGCCGACGGCCACAACTCTAGGCTCGTTTTGAGCTGCAGAGTCGCTAAGCATGACTCGAACCGAGCGAGTGACCCCACCAATGGACTCCTCATCCGAAGAGCAATCCATTGGTGGGGTCACACGTTCGATTCGAGTCATGCTTAGCGACTCTGGAGCTCAAAACGCGTCCAGGGTTTTGGCCGCCTCCGCCGTCTTCTGGCCCACTGTGCGAGGTGGGCCACTTGGCGGGCCGTGTGTCCGGCGGCGTGGCGGGGCGTGGCACGGCGTGGCGTGGCGGCCCGCATAGCTGTCAGGGGCCACGCGCCGGGATTACCCCGAGGGGTGCACCGCCGTCGCCACCGCCGTCACCACCGCCACCACGACGGCGACGCCAGGATAGGCCCGGAGCCAAGGCGCCGGGGCGGGGGTGGAGGGGGTTCGTGCCAGCAGGGCGAATGGATTAGAATTCGGAAATCTCGCGCATTGTCAGGCAGGGCAGAGCGAACTAGGTACTGCTTGCTGGCCGAGAGAAAGGGACGATTCAACCATTTTCTCCAGTGTGCCACACGCTCAAAAATATGTTTTTGCACTAACCGCAACCCACCAGCCCTAAAAAGCGGAAAGCACTCTTCCCTCCCCCTCACTAAAATAAGTGTTCATAGACCCATGTCAATTTTCACCATTCCCACATTATTTTCTTTCTAGTTCTACGCTCACGTTCCTGTCAATTTTATTCGTTTCATTTCCTTTCATTTTCTTTCATTTTTTTTGCGACGTCTGGTCTTATCACACGCCAATGCATAAACCCGCCCGCCACCTACTTCACACACTCGATTTTTCGACTTCTCTCTCTCTCTCTCTCTCTCTCTCTCTCTCTCTCTCTCTCTCTCTCTCTCTCTCTCTCTCTCTCTCTCTCTCTCTCTCTCTCTCTCTCTCTCTCTCTCTCTCAAACTCTTTCTCTCGCCATTCTTTCTGGCGCCGTCGCCACCGCCGCGACCAGATTGCGAGGGGTGGGGGGCGCCAAGCGACCCCCAACGTGCCAACGACCCCCTCCGCGTTGCTGACTGGCGTTACCGCGGCCGTCCGGCGTCCACGTTGTTTTGTGGACGGGGCGTTGCGTCGCACAGTGGGCCAGAAGCGCAGCGGGCAAAACCGGCCGGGGGAGCGCTGCGACCGTAGGCACTCTGAACCCGGGTGGCTGCTTCTCGAGGCTCGCACAGTGGCCAGAAGACCGTGGAGGCTGCCTAAACCTGGATGCGTTTGAGCTCCAGAGTCACTAAACTGGACTCGAACCGAAGTGTGACCACCCAAAGGATTCCTCGTCCGAAGAGCAATCCATTGGTGGGGTCACACGTTCGGTTCGAGTCATGTTTAGCGACTCTGGAGCTAGAAACGCGTCCGGGATTTCGACCGCCCCCCACCGGTCTTCTGGCCCACTGAGCGTTACGTTGCTTCGTGGACAGGGCGTTACGTGGCTGCGGTGCGGCGTGGGGCGTGCCAGAATTATTAGGGTTGGCGGATCCTCATTGCATGCCATGGGTTTTTGTCCCGACGCCCTTATTCGCGCACAGAGATAGCGGCACGCTGCATGTCTGTCTGTCTGTCTGTCTGTCTGTCCGTCCGTCCGTTCGTCCATCTGCATTCCGGCCCGTCCGGCGTACCATTTGCATGTCTGTCTGCCTGCTAGTCTGTCTGTCCGTCTGTCCGTCCGTTGGTCCATCTGGCCGTCGGGGAGGCGCACTGCGCGCTCAGGGGGCAAAGATACGAGAAAGGGCGTCGGGGGGGGGGGGGGGCTTTTGCTGCACTGGATTAGAATGAGTGGTGTGGCTAGCTCGCAAAAACGCACTTCATTTAGGAGCAAAGGAACGAGGAGAAAATTATTGTTATACCTACCGGGTAGTTGTCCCTGCCCCCTCAAGTCATGTTAATTTTTCCTTTGGTTCACCCCGATCCGTTCCACACGACTAGCGACCCCAAAATGGTTCTCGCTCTGGGCGGTGCACTCGCAGAGCGACCCACGACGGTGCTTGGTTATGCATTTCGCGGTCATTTTAATTCAGTGGAAACGAACACATTAGCACACAAAACACTGGACGCCCCTCTCAAAGTCTGTCGAGCGCTTCAGAAGATTCGTTTCGTCGCTCTCTCTCTCCCACCGTCGCATTAGTGCACTCCGTTTGAGGGTGCGAGAGAGACAGAGCGACGAACCACTCTCCCGAATCACGTGCAGAGGGGAGAACAACTGCTCTCATTCATTGTACAAAATTTGAACACATTCCACGGTCAGGTGGCAAAACGCCTGTAAGAAGGCAACGTGTGTGGCAAATACGCCTGAAATCTTGCACATTCCCGGACATTCCCGCAATCACACTGAGAATGAAACAGTCATGATCAGGACTAAAATTTTGGGTGAGGAATTCTTTAACACCCAAATTTGGGTGTCAATCACTTAGCTGATCGTAGCTGATACCCTTCCTCGCCCAAATTTGGGCCAGGATCCTTCCTCACCCAAAGTATACCTCGCCCAAAATTGGGTATTGATCAAGACTCGTTCATTCTCAGTGCTCTGTCCACGAAATTTCTCAGTGGGTCACCATCGCACAGTGGTATACAGTGGTGTCTAACCTGGACCTTTCTCCTCTGTCTGCAGGTGCCAGGCGTGTCAGGCGTCTGCCGGGGGATGTCAGCCTGACGTCGCGGTGCAGGCACTGCCAAGGGCTCTGCAGCACTGCAGGCATGCCTTGCCTCGCGGCGCGCCACGGGGCCCACGAGGCGCACAGGGCCCTCGGGGGGTGCCTGGCCGACGGTGGCGGCCTGGCTGCGCGCCGTGCTGCACGCCGTGCGCCACGCGGCTAGGCCGAGGCTGGCTGGGCCGAGGGCTGCGCGGCCATGACTGGGGAGGCTGCCACGTTGGCGGGCCGGGCAAGAGGCAGCAGAAGCAAGCGTGAGTACCGTCTTCTCCAGTCTCAGACAAACTACCGGTACAGTGGCGGATCCAGAGTCGGCCCAAGGGGGGGCGCAAAGTAACACTTTTTGCCTACTTACAGGGGCAAATTGGTGCTTTTTGCCTACCTTTCAGCCGGCTATCTAGGGGTCAGGGGGGGGGGGCAATTGTCCTTTTGCCCCCCCCCCTGCACTCTAAATGTTAACGGTGAAGATTCTCCATATTATGGTGAAAATGTTCCATATTATGGTGGTGCAGCTGACTTCGTAACATACCATTGAGAATTCACTGTACCTTATAGATATTTTGACGAGTTTCGTTGGTATTATGGAGAAAATCTCCACCATAATATGTTGGTGCAGCCTTTCACCGTAAGACATTTACAGTGTGGATCCGCGCTTGTACCGGTGTTGACTTTTAGTACATGGTTTTGACATTTTGTCGATAGTACCTCTGGTTTTTTGTGCAACAGTAATATGTACTTTTGACTTTTGTTCGTATAATCTGCCTTTTTGTTAGTACTTATATTGACAAAAATTAATTTCTACATAATTTTATGTGGTAAATTGTTCGTATCTAAGAAGAAAATACTAAGTATTATTGTTGTAGGCTATAGTGCCTAGTTACGACGATAAAGTTAATAAGAGGCTGAGAGTGTCCAGTCCGCTAAACCGGCGACACTGTAAAAAATTCCTTACTTTTTTACGGAAAATGTACTGACGAATCTAGTACGGAAAAAAGTACGGGACGTCCGTACTTGCCCCTTAAGAACTCAATAATCGGGTACAGAAAAATAAGTTCCGTAGCAGGACAGGTACGGACGATCCAGGCAAATTATTCACCTTGTTCACTTCCAGAGCAGCCGACCGATTCCATTCACTTGTTACGCAATGTAAGAAAATTATCATCGAACCGAAGTTTTCTTTTTTCTGTGAAACCGCCGAAAAAAGCGATCCATTGAGAAACACTGAAATTTTGATGCATGTATGTATTGGCGTTTTAAAAAATGTTTTCGGCTTCTTTTTTCTTCTATTCAACTTCTTTAAAACAATTTCTATTTGATTTGTTCGACTGTGGAGTTGTTTCTCCTCGCTGTTACTATATTACATCAGGCAGCAGCTGGGACTCTGCGCTGTGTGCCCTGCCCACCGTCCAACAAAGCAGTAACTTACTCTCCGGCTGGCTGGCCTGCACTTCTAGAAGAAGAAAAAAACCTACTCCAATTGGGGGTGGCTCATTGTGTCCACCAAAAAAGCGTCTACCGTTAAAATATTAATATTTTTAGAAAACATGCTGTTTTGAAAAAAGCGACTAACTTTTACCATTAAAAATTTCTGCCAATTTTTTTTAAGTCAGGAATGGATTGTACTTCCAATCTACAACTATTTTTGTACAAAGTACAATGGAACAAGTATGACAAGTGCAGTCCAGTCTACAATCCTACTTTATTTCACAGGGTTTTTTTTTGTACTTTTCACTCTTTTTCTTGCAGTGTGGCCAGCTCGACCAGGCCAGGCCGGCCCGGCTGGGCTCGAACTGAATTGATGGTGTGATGGACTGATGGTGTGGCGTTTGCAGGCAGGCGGGGATGAGCCGTGATGAGGCCGGCGGCCGACAGCTGGTGCCGTTGGGGCGGCCGGCTGGCTGCCTGCATGCTGTCGTGCGTCCTGGTCGCCCTGCTCGTCACGCTGCACGCCCTGTACGACAGCGCAGTCTACACCATCCAGTACCAGGGTAACCGCCACCACCACACTGCTAACGACGTCGCCCTGCCACAGTGGGCCAGAAGACCGGTGGAGGCGGCCAAAACTCTAGACGCGTTTTGAGCTCCAGAGTCGCTAACTGGGACTTGAACCGAACGTGTGATCCCACCAATGGACTGCTCTCCGAACGAGGAACCCATTGGTGGGGTCACACGTTCGGTTAGAAACCTGTTTGGCGACTCTGGAGCTCAAAACGCGTTAGAGTTTGGGCAGCCTCCACCGGTCTTCTGGCCCACTGAGCTTCGGAGCGCCTGCGAGGTAGGCAGTGCCACACACTGCTGTTCAACGGGAGTGCCTACCCCGATGTTCGCAGGCGCTCTGCCCGGGGCTCTGCGACTCTGGAGTTCAAAACCCGTCCGGGATTTTGACCGTCTTCTGGCCCACTGTGTGGCGTGGCCAGGGAAGTGGCCGGGCCATGCCCCTCGCATGCGAGACGGCAAGCGCGCGGGGTATCGCCGACAGCAGACTGATTCCGAGAGTCGTTTTCGTCGCTCTGTCTCGCTCGCACCCATGGGGCGTCCCGTACGGGTGCGAGAGAGACGGGGCGACTCTCGGAATCAGTCGCAGCCACTCTCTGCTACAGCCACTGCGAAAGTCGCTTCGCTTTACTTGGTTTCGCCTTACTTTGTGCTCCTCGTCCGCAGGGCTGAGCGATGAGGGCCTGGAGGCCATGCTGCTGGCCAACACCGCCGACGTGTCGGCCATGTTGACGGCGCCGGAGATCCCCGACGACCCGGGCGGCGGAGGCGGCGACTTCGGCGGCGACCTGGGCGGCGACCTGACGGTGGTGTCGGGCGTGGACACGAACGAAGTGAGCGACCAGGACAAGGACCTCCACTTCGAGGAGGGCAAGGACGACGTGGGCCGCGTGCGCTTCCCCAGGACGTCGCGCCGGCTGCCGCAGTGCCTCATCATCGGCGTGCGCAAGTGCGGCACGCGCGCGCTCCTGGAGATGCTGTTCCTGCACCCGCGCGTCCAGAAGGCGGCCGGCGAGGTGCACTTCTTCGACCGCGACGACAACTACTCGCGCGGCCTGGAGTGGTACCGGAAGAAGATGCCGCACTCGTTCCCGCACCAGGTCACCATCGAGAAGAGCCCCAGCTACTTCGTCACCCCCGAGGTGGGTGCATGCTCTGCTCGCCCTCCCGCACTGGGAAAACTGAGGCGTAACATTGCCTTCAGGAAAGGCGCACAGTGGGCCAGAAGACCGGAGGAGGCGGCCGAAACTCTAGACGCGTTTTGAGCTCCAGAGTCGCTAAATCGGACTCGAACCGAACGTGTGACCCCACCAATGGATTGCTCTCCGAACAAGGAATCCATTGGTGGGGTCACACGTTCGGTTCAAGCCTGTTTAGCAACTCTGGAGCTCGTCTAGAGTTTTGGCCGCCTCCACCGGTCTTCTGGCCCACTGCGCCAGTGCGCTCGGAGAAAGTTCCCCAGTTTTACCTGTTTAACAGGAAGCTCGCCACTTTTAAAACCCGTCACGACACTGTAACTGCCTTTGGTCCCAGGTGCCGGAGCGGGTGCGCGCGATGAACGCGAGCGTCAAGCTGCTGCTCATCGTCCGGGAGCCGGTGACGCGGGCCATCTCCGACTACACGCAGCTCCGCAGCCACGCCGCCACGGCGTCGCCGTCGCCGCCGCCCAGCGGGCAGCAGATGCAGCAGGGCCAGCGCTCCTTCGAGGAGCTCGCCCTGAAGCCCGACGGCACCGTCAACCTGGCGTACCGGCCGCTCTCCACGTCCCTGTACTACTCCTTCCTGCACCGCTGGCTCGACGTCTTCTCGCGCGACCAGCTCCTCGTCGTCAACGGCGACCTGCTCATCGAGGACCCCGTGCCCGAGCTGCGGCGCATCGAACAGTTTCTAGGTGAGTGGTGGCGTGGCCGTCCTGGTGCTGCCGGTGTTGCCGTTCAAGTAGAATACAAACGTCGGAAAAGTGGCGATATATATCGGCAAACTTTGGCCCGAACTTTCGCAAATGCTGTTCGTGTTTTACTCTCGTGATTTCACAAAAATTTTGGTCGTACTAGCGAATACCGCGAATCGTCTGGGGTCAAAAAGGTTGTCATTTTCGTCATCGGCACCCTCAAAACATACGAAACAACGTCAAACTTAAAGCAAAATTTTGGTCGTAACATACCCCTTTGGGATTCGAACCTGGGTCCAAACTTCTCCGATTCGTTCGAAACCAGCACCGTTGGCTTCGTCTCGTCACCCCGATCGATTCCAAAAATTCACATGCCTGCCCATATAGCTCCGCAATCCGATTCAGCCCGACCGCCTACTTAGGAGGCGAGTTGACATCGATGGTGACCGCGGCTGCGTTGGGCTGTGCTTGCAGGTCTGGAGCCCCGGATAGGGCGCCACAACTTCTACTTCAACCACACCAAGGGCTTCTTCTGCCTGCGCAACGAGACGGCCGACAAGTGCCTGCGCGAGACCAAGGGGCGGCGCCACCCGCGCGTCGACCCCGCCGTCGTCACCAAGCTGCGCAAGTTCTTCTCCGAGCACAACCAGCGCTTCTACGACCTGGTGGGTCAGGACCTTGGCTGGCCCGAGGAATGACCGCGCCGATCACTGCCGCCAGCACCGCCACCGCGACGCCACCGCGACGGCGGACTGCTTGGAGCGGCCGGGGAGCGGCGCGCGGGGGCGGGGCGTGGCTGGAGGCCGCGAGGCCCCGGCCAGCGCCCTGGCGGCTCGGCAGAGTCGGCAGAGACTGCAGGCGGCAGAGACACACTCACACTGACCGTCCCGGTCCCAGACCGGTCTAGACCCTACCGGTCGCGCGGGCCGCGCCGGGGGTATTGTCCGTCCAGAGCATCTCATTCACACCAACCTCACTGTGTTCACTGCTTGCCGCGGCTTGCCGGCGCCGCGAGTCTCTGCCGCCGTCCGCCCCTCCCTTCCGGCGCGCTCCCCGGCCCCGCCGCGGTCGGCACCGCGTCGTGGAGGGAACCTAATTGTAGTTTCTCAACCCGGAAGGCCTACGGAATACCACGTTCTTCTGTCGTCGGTCCAATTGCGAAGATATATTGAACCACTAGTCTGTAGGTTTTTCCAAGTCTGAACAAGCAGATTTAAGCAGTCTGTATTTTTGTTCAACTCGTTGTCAGCCCGTCTCGTTGTTCAGTTCTTCGTTACATGTGAAACCTTTAGATTTTAAGGGAGTTCATGGAACTGTCATTTCCCTCGTAGGCAAAGGGAGCCTTAAACCAAATTGCTCGATGTGATATTATTCTCGATGAGATAGTCGTCTCTTGTTTAAAGATAATTTGTACATATTTATTGTGCTGATGATATTTCAGTATTACGAAAAAATTGAAGAAGAGCGTAACGATAACATATCATTAAAAATGCATATCATATTGTGAATTTTTATCAAATTACATTTACATATCATTCCTGTGACAAGTTGAAATATGAAACATATCATTATTTATCTTTCGCAGACTTTCCTGGCCGATGTGTGAATATGCGGTCGGTATGTGCCATGGGGACAGGTTCCTAGACATATTGTTAAGCTAAGAAATTTTAAGAGTGTAACCCACATGTTATTTAATGCAATATTTTGTTACCAGTTGTTGTTTCTGAAGTTTTAATGCTAGCTGATCATTCGTAACGTACCTAAAGCGGGATATTCGAGTCACCTTACCGTAGCTTTATATCTGAACGCCTCTGTCAGTGCTCCGATCCAGGAAACGGGGCCCGGGAAATAGAAAATGGAAATCGGAAAAGGGAAAGGCAGCGCCACAAACGTGTCGGTTGGGCTGCCTACCCGCCGGGTCGAAGGCGCTCGCCACGAACGACGTGGTACTCTTATCTTCCAAGTTGCTTCCAATCCCTCCAAGTCAGTCTGGCGGGAGAGTGGGGCTAAGGCTGGCAGAAGCGGTTATAAACGTTTTTGGCGCCAACTTTTTAGAAAGTTTCCATTGGACGGAGCCACGGGCTTGGATCCGCACCTGCACCTTAAACCAGGCTGGCAGGATGTCCAGGGCGAGGAGGTCACCCCGCTTTCCTACCGTGCTGTAAGGTTCAAGGTTCAAGGTTGGACTTTCAACAAGGCGCTCGTCAAATAGCAGACCCGAGACAAAACCATGACGTGTTTAATTTCCTTTCCAGAGGCACGCGCTGACCACGTTAGTTTTAAGATTGTCGTAAGGGCGGGGCATTTTAATTCTTAAGTAAATGTTGTTTGTGTTAAATATAGTTTATTTATAATTCTGACGGAGGGTGGACCTGGCCCCATGGTACACGTGCATCAGACACGGCGCCGGCTAAAGACGCTGCGAGGGTATTCATAAAGTAACGCAATATAATTATATAAATATATTTTTATAATCCGTATTGGAAATTGTTGCCCTATATTCATTGTTAATGTATACTGTATGTAGTTTCATTAACGCAGGGATTCATAGTTTTATGTTGCTATCGTTCCAGTCGTATTTTGTCAAAGTCAGTCAGCCTAGACGCTACTGTTTTGATTCCATTTTTCGTCTGCTTTAAATGTTTTAGCGTTTCTTGGGGAATACGTGTGAACCCCGGCTAGAGTCTAAACCTTGAAAAAAATAATCAATTAACTTGGAGTCATACTTTCTTTCGTTGGCTTATGGCACAGTGCGATGTTGATCTAAAAGAGCAATAAGGGAGATTTTTTTGCGCCGTTCTTTGTCGAATTTACGGTGGTGGCGGTGAGTTCGATTTGGCCATCCAGCATTGTCAATTTCATGAAAGAGCTGGAGGACCGATCTTACACTCAACGAGCGTATTTTTCACGATAACTATTAAAAAGGAGGACATTTGTTGTGCATGTCACAATGATCGTTCTTGCTGAAAATTTGTGAATTGGTTTTCCTTTTTCGTTCAGGAAATAACAAATAACTGGTGGCACAGCCGTCGCGACTGCCCTGTACACTGTACGGGTTGCGGGTCGCGCTTATCACCGTCTCGCCTTGTCGGCGAGGCCGCGGGACAGAAGACCGATTCCGCGCAACGTTTCGTCGCTCTGTCTCTCTCGCACCTGCAGGGAACGCCGCATGGTGCGAGAGAGACAGAGGGGCGAAGGCAATGTTCGCTCTGCTGAGACTGGGAACGGACCCCCGAATAGCGCCCAAGCACAGCATCGCACCGAGCCATGCAGCCAAGGCAGAGACTGCCAGCCAAACAAAAACAATAACAAAAATTCCAGTTTGAAACGGTCATGCATCGCAAGCGGTGTGCGTTGCGCGCATTATGCGTAGGACAAGAATATTAGAAAATAGATTTTTTTAAACTGAGTTATCCTATGCATACCGCTGCTAACGCTCTTACGAATTTTTGTCCAGTTGGCTTTCCCTGACCAGGGGCTCGGTTAGGCAACCAGTCTTACCATGAGACCTTTCAACCGCTCCTTGTTCATTGGTTTTGGATTTTCTTTTCCACTGCTATAGAAATTAGCCAGAGACCGCGCGTGCGTCTGCAGCCGGCTAAACTTATTTCATCCTAATCAAGTATTTTCTCTTTGTAAGTGTGATGACGTTTTGTGGGGCATATGATAGTTTTTAAGATGTCAAAGATAAACATATCATTTCTAGTACTGTTACAAGCTCCTTTATAATGTACTTTTGCGCCGTATGAATATGAGCATATCAACGTGTACGCGTTACGTACAAAATAGAACTGATGCATATCGTTTTGAGAAGAACTATTCATTGAAAAAGTCAACGTTAGTTCTCTCTTTTGTGATCTCAGAAGCTGTAACTTATGAGGGCTTTTCCCTTTAAATCCATCATTCCTAGTCTTTGTATTTTTAAGTACTCGTGGATTTATGCAACTTACAAATTTTCCATGTTCAATTAATACTAACCTTGTTTTAGTCTAGTCATTTATTTCATTTTAGCTGGGAAGCAAGGAACCGGATTTAGATTGTAACAGATTTTTGACAGGGATTGGAATGATTATCGTTTTATTTTTTCTCGACGCTAAACGTCTTTTACCGAGCCATACTGACCAGAGCCCTTGTTTGATCTCGTTTCTACAAACTTTGTTGCCTCCACTACTTCCACGGACAATGTAAGAAAAGAAAATTAATAATTATCCGCGAAAACACGCGTGCTCTATGTTTGAGGGCTGGTTTCAAACACGCCAGTGTGCCACAGAACGGCACGCGTGGAGTCCCAGACAGTCCGTGACCGGGCAAGACTAGTCCGTGACTGGGCAAGTCACTCGGCTAGACAGACATTTCTCCACAAGTGTCGCAAGTCGATCGCTGCGGTATGAAAGCGCTCGTCACGACGATGAGGCGAGGCTCTCCTCCGCAGACTGATTCCATGAGTCGTTGTCATCGCTCTGTCTCTCTCGCACCTGTGAGGGGCACCCCATGAGTGCGAGAGAGACAGAGCGACGAAAACGACTTTCTGAATGAGTCCATTGATTGCCTCTGATGATCCGGTTGCCTGATAGCGGCTTGCCTCCCGAAGGTGGCCCCTCCCTGAGCACACTCGTCATGCAACCGATAGCGATAACTCGATAGCGAGCCCGCCGGTCGATATCTTATCGGCGTCGATCTCGTCTGGCTTCGGGAGAAACGAGTCGGTACTTTCCAGTTACTTTCCAGTACTTTCCAGTCGATTCCTGGATTCGCGTTCACTCCTTTCGCGCTTTGTCCTTGTCACACCTGGGTCCCTTTCGGTCCCTTTGCTGTTCCTTCCTTCCATCCCATTTTTACCTTTATCTTGTTCTAAAGTTTCCTTTGCAAACGAAGCAGGGCGGCATCTCTCGGTGCGGCGCCTCGGTAGCGTTTTAGAGTGTTGTCTAGTATCTATGGTAGAGGCTTGAAGCAAAAGGTACACTAGGTATCGTTAAATTCTATTTATATCCCTTTTAATATCCTTCCTGCTCTGTTGTCAATGGCTCATGTCGCCTCCATTTTCGCACTGTTTTCCTTAACAAAAAAAAAGGATTGCACTCAGTCTTGTCAAAAAGGGAAAATTGAACGGGCAATTTCTAATTTTTGTCATATTGGTCAAAAGTTGCCTTGTTGGTCTCTATCTCAAAACGAACAATATCAGCCGAATATTCGTCCTTTTAATTTCATATTTTTGTATGACAGTGGTTCAGCTTCCATCCAGAATTGCCCAAGGGAAAACAACTTCTTTATTTCTCCTCTGATTTTCTTTCCTGTTCAATTAGATTTCTCCAAATTACCCAGTGGTAATTTTTTTAACATTATTTTTCTTGATTGGCTCTGTTTGGCATAGAGAGACATGGGCGTTATAAGTCTCTAGTGGTGTTTCCTGAGGCATGACACGGCGCCCCGCTGCGACTTCCGGTTTGCTTCGCTTTCCGTCGTTGACTGGTCGTTTCAGCATTCTCAGTTCTTGGGTGTGTCTCGTGCATTTCAGGCCACTCATTGCCCCCACGTCCAGGAGGTACACCGTGGTAGAACAAAAAGTTTTTTGCTGCATAAAGTGCCTAGTTTTACAGAGATGTAAACGAAATTTGGACCGGGGATTGGGGATTGCACGAGTACTTCTCGTTGGGGCTCGCGCACCTCACGTCCTCGAACGCCTGTGTCGGGCCCGAAACGGCATAGATCATGTGTGGTCTAGCCCGTAATGGTAATGGCAATGGCAATGCGCGGGGTAGGCCAGCCCGCCCACCCTGCGTGTCCAGCGGACTGCCTACCCCTTGTTTCTCAGGCGCTAAGACTCGATGAGCGTGCATCCTCGGGGCTTTCGTGAAACAACGCACTGCTTCTAAAAGGAAATTTTTGGGAACATATTCCTTGAGAGAAGCTATTGGTTTTCCAAGACTTATTGTTCTACTTCGGCCTCTTTGACTGGGTGCTTCATTCAAGTACATATCAGCCCTTCACAATTGGGCAAATGCTCTGTGATCAGAAGTGCAAAGTCTCTAATTATATTTTGTGGAGGAAGATGGTAGCAAGACACAGCCAACTAATGCAAAAGCCTTTTGTACAATCCACACATTATTTTGCTCGATATGTGTGCTGATTTTGTGCAGACATTTTACTCGTTGCGGTTTGTTCATTTTAACCGTCTGTTATTGGAGTTATTTATCTCTATTAACCGTTCTTTGTTATAGTCTAGGAAAGGTCCTTTACAAGATTTGTTGTTTTATATTCTATTGGTGCTCGTATACAAATGAGATGATGTATTACTTTGTTATCTGCACTCAAGTGTTGATTGTAAAAAAGCTCTAAAGTGACAGCAATAATTCCCATACATTAGACATATTATAATTTATTTGTAAGGGACTTCGGTTTGAAGATTGCATTTCCTGTCTTTGAAAAAGACAAGTTAAAAAACTCCAGATCTTTTTGTTATTTTATTCAACAAATTTTGAGACTGTTTATCATCTTATTCAGTTTGAGAGTAGAGTGTAGAACTATCTGGAAAAAAGTGGGATGTACTTCTTCAAATTTTGAAACTTACACAAAAGAAAAAAGAAACTATGAAGGTTGTGTGTATCTTGGTTTTCTTGCTCGTTAAATATCTTAATTTATGCTGCCATATCTGCAACCTGCCTAATGGGCTGCTGTTTGTTACCCAGCAATTTCTGTTGCATCTTTTGTTCTACATTGTAGACCAGGAAATAAATATAGTTCCATCTGATAAATCCTAATTTTACTGGTAAAGATTGCATTTCTTTGAAACAAAATTGCATCACTGCTTGCTTTTAGAAATTCTTAGCCCTTCACTCACTCAGCGATCCAAAGAACATTCACCTCCGCCTGAATCCCCCTACTATCAAACGGCTGGTGGAGGTACTTTTTTTGTTTGCTTTTTTTGATAAGGAGAGATAGCAATACCAAAGTGCCCCTTGCAATAAAGGCCTGCGAAGAGCCGCAGCACATTCAGAATCATGCTAAGTATTGCTTTTTCAAGCGAAGTTTGAAATGCAAAGTCCCCACCAATAAGGTGACCTGTAGACAAGCTTTTCAAATAATATTTATGACTTCATGTTCAAGAGGCGTGGCTTCCTCAAATTAAATTTTGCAATTCACGTTTTCCTTTCGGGAACACAGCAACTGTCTTGAAAAATGTGGGACTTGGGTGCCGAATACAAGTTTCCTACCTTGGCCTAGAGTGAGCCGAAAACATGGCATCGCTGTCTTGATGACTAGACGCCGCCGTGGGCTCCCCCTCCCCCCTCCCTTTCCCCCTCTCCACTCCGACTCAGCGGCAGACACGGCAGCGGAGCGGTTCAGCTGGGAGACCGGGCTTCAACGCCAGACAAGCGAGGAAGCGAGCACTGTCCGTGAGGGGGTGTAGCTCAGATGGTAGAGCGCTCGCTTAGCATGCGAGAAGTACGGGGATCGATACCCCGCACCTCCAGGTTGGAAATTAATTTTTTTGACCGCAAGCTACAAGCAAGTACTGTATTTAAGATGCGTGCACTGAGCCAGTGGGGTTTAAAGCAAAAGCTGTGCCTTCTGGCCTACTGTGTGGGGCCACCTCAGGAACTTGAAATTGGTTGCACTGGGTTTTTGGAGCCTATCATCCACTTCTCAAATTTCCTTCTCAGACAACCTTAATTCCAAATATGTAAAAATGAAATCCAGAAAATTTTCGTAAGGCCTTATTTAAGGATAGTAATCTGTTTCAAGAATAAAATTTGGCTTCATAGGCCCTAGCACATCCGAGAGGTGACACTGCTTCTCACTAGCTAGCTTTTGAACCCAATAGTTAAAAATTAGTGGAAGGGGCCAACACTAAAGACTAACAGTGATATACTGACATCAAATATTTATTAGATCCGAAGTATCGGTATTACATTTTGTACAGTAAGATTACAATGAGAAACTGTCATTTAAACTTTCCAAAGAAGGTCCTTTCACAGCCGGAAACTGTTACACACAGACACTCTGTAGGCAGCCTTTGCAAAAGTTGAGGCTACCAGCAAGATACACCCCCCTACAACTACAAGGACATTTATAAAAATAAAAACAAGAGAACTCTACACATCTTTATGATAAAAGCAAATCTACTAATATAATAAGATAAATGATGCATCTCCCAGTTGCTACTTTAAAACAAAGTCAAGATACCTTCAGTCCATTAAATCTGAAATTTATTATATACAACACATGAAATTGTTATGTGGAAAGCACCACATGGCGAATTCATGGCAAAGGGCAAGAATAATTGCCCTATACTAATAATTGGAACAAATTTTAAAATTAACAATCTAATCCTGCTGGAGTAGTGATAGCAACTATCTAATGAAGAATCTCAAAGGTTTACAAAGAAGATGAAAACGTTAAAATGGAAACTGACCTACATATATGGACTACAAATCATAATCTAACACCAGGTCTCCAAGCAAAATAGATGTCATCAAGCAAGTATACATCTGGGTTTGATTTAATTTTGAAGTAACACAAGGGTTAAGGAATGACATTTAACATTGAGAGGGGGGGGAAAACTCCTTCTTGATGGCACGAATCCTTCCAAAGCACGCTCTTCAAAATCAGTCCAAAAATCTGAAAAACATGTGTATCTAATAGCATTGGGGCTAAGAAACTGATAAATTGTTTTTAATAGTTTACCGAGCCATCACCAAATACAAAGAGCGTGCATGGAAGGATTTACAGTCATCACCAAATCAAACTACACCCAACAGTACAACATACATCATTGAAAAGAGAAAACCCAGTATGAGATTCTGCTAAAACGGTTTACTTGCTGCTTTGAGTGGTAGGATGTTCTTCAATTGCGAACACACATTCAGAAATATATTTCTCATAGCATTGTTATGTTGAATAGGAGCACACTGCCACAGCTGATTAGAACAAAAATCACAGATGGCCCAAGAATTTGCCCAATTCCTTAATTCCACTGGTAATCTTACACTTCAAGAAATAATTGAATAAATTTTAGGAACATCACAAATCTTGGGTGTTGCTTCACATACAACAATAGAAAATCATTGTAGCCCCCCAGCTCTAGATGAGCTTCAAGGCACAGGGTCTTAGAAACTTTGGATCAACAGTTTACACAAACATTCAATTTAAAAGTGACAAGGAAGAGATAGAAACCAAAGCATTAATACATATACCCTGTCCTCCATATTTTTAGAAACAAAACCATGCCTAAATTTATTTAGAGTGCCCTGTGCCTTATGCTGCTAATACACCACACCCTTCAGAAGATGGTCTAATAGATATAATTCAAGACGCTTGGTGTAAGCGCACTGGCTGCAAAACAAACTGCAAACCAATTTATGGATGTGACTGCACGTCAACTCACATGCTAAGGTATCCACGAGCTTGAGATCGGCGGCGTCCGACAAGGTAAGCAACAAGAACTACAATGACAAGGGCTGCCAGAGCACAACCCACAGCAATAGGAACGATGTCGGGGGTGTCCAATTCACAGTATTGAGCTGCAAACAGTTTTGGAAAATTAGTTTCAAAAATTTTCAATCTAACATACCCCAGGCAATTGCTTCAGGTACTTACGAGCACTAAACACAGCTGTGTTTTCAATGTGGAAGGCCTGAAGCTGAACACTGCTGAGGAACAGCTCAGCGTTGATCTTGGATCCATCATTGGTCAGAGTTAGATTCTGCTCACGAGTGCAGTGGAAAGACTGGTTAAGATTGACCATGTAATCTTGCTTGACTCTCATAAAGTTGTATTGTTTGTTGGCAACTAAAACAAGGATCACAAATTGATGTCAAATATGTGGCAATTATATACTTACATATGCAGGTTGAGTTTTACTTACGATCGGTTGAGATGTTTTTGAAGACAGCTGAATCAGCGAATAATGAATACGTAATCTGGGAGATGAAGTACATCTTGGCGGTATCATTCTTCTTGAAGTCAACCTGCATACTGTTGTTACCCCAGGTGAGCTTGATCCACTGGCTAGTGGGGTCACAAGATCCCTCAGCTTTGGCAAGTGATGGGACAAACACTGCCTTTTCGAGAGTCTACAACAGAACAGTGGGACATACTTGAATTGAAGGGCAGCAACTCTCAAAGACCCATCAATAATATGCAATAAGTACAGTACCGTATTGGCACCCTGGACAGGGTACTTTATTTTAGCCGACACCGACATGGCTGCAAGGATACACGTGACATTGTCACCAGAGACGGTCCAGTTTCCTTTCTGAAGACTGTCAGGGAAGGGACTGGGTGTAGGCGCAGGAGTTGTGGGAGCGGGAGCAGGAGTTGTGGGAGCAGGAGTTGGGGTTGTTGTAGGAGCTGAAGTAGAAGTAGTGGGAGGTGGAGGTACGGTGGTTGAGGAAGGAGCGGTAGTACTTGAAGAAGGAGTGGCAGGAGTGGTCGTCGTCCCTGCAGGGGTTGTAGGGGGAGGAACCTCAGTAGCAGGGGGGAGAGTTTCTGCAAATAAAAGAAAACGAGTATTGTTAGATACAGCGGCCATCACCATACCTAACGATTATAGAAATGTTTGACATGCTACTGTATTACAATGGTTTCTCATGGAAAATTTAGGGGAAAGTATTCACAAAATCAAGATGAAACATGCAGGGCTCAGAGGCTGGCTGATATGCCCTCCACAGGCCAGGCCCACTGTACTTTGGACTCGCCAAATGACTCACTCCATGTCCAGCCTGTGGGCTCTGGAAATTTCCATAATCCCAACGTCGCCATTAAGGGCCACATTTCAAGGTTTGGAACGCGACCCGTTCGCCAACAAAGAATTATACTGCTCGCAAGTTAGGCTGCGAGTACGGCCCTTCTCCAAATGACGTCGGCTGGATATGGCATAAGCGACACCCAACCCCCCACACAACTCGGCACTGCGGCCGCCGTCAAAAGCCAATCCGTACAGAACGCGGATTGATCGAATGGAAAGCAACAAAGGGCGCCGGGATAATGTTTCGGGACGCATAGACGGTGAGTTGCATAATGGTTAGAACAGTGGAATGCATTTAGGCTTACCTGCGGCGAGAACGCTCGCAAACAATGCACAAGCTAAGAGCACAAACAAGGATTTCTTGTTTTCCATGATGAGCTAATTCGTGCAGACTTTAGCTGGTGGAAAAAAGATTCACGGTGCCAGTTTAAGTCGAAAGTGAGACAAAGCAAGAGCCGAGAGGACAACTGCGAAGTGGAAACTAATCAAGTCATCTGCGCTGCGCCTGGCCTAACAACACAGACTCAGCTCGCTCGGCACTTCTTCTTCGTCAGCTGAAATGGTACTTTGTGACGATCGTGTTTTGTTTTGCTGCATCATTAGCCAACGTTAGTCTGGAAAATCAAATAGTTGACGACAATATCTCGTTAGCAAGTCAAGGTGAAGAAAATACTTTAATTTTTTCTAAGTTTTAAATTTATTTATTTTTTCACAAAAGATCCTTGAACGGTTCGACATAATGGAAGATTCGAAGTACTTTTGCTTTTGATGTTGGTACTGTAGAGTACTGGCCAGCCTGCAGACGACGCAAGAAACGACATGGCGAGCTGCATCTCTCGATAATATTGTGGGTTGGCGAAATTTTTGTTGCGGCTTCGGGTGAAGACGTTAGAAATTCATTACAAGACCACATTATCTTTATTGGAAACCTTTTCTTCTCACTCCGCGGTGCTCAAAGTGCAGTGACCTGTTGGTCAGTCCTCGATTCTTGTCCCCTTTTGACAGAGCAGCACCAACCAGTCAAACATGTATTTTATAAAATACAGAACGAGACAAACGATTCCTCTGAAAATGCTCAATTTCTTTAGTTAGAAAATAGGACCTGATGCCGTTCCTGAGCTCGAGATTTTCCATCAAAGTCTTGATGTATTTCATTATCAAGGTAGCATGTTTTTATTTTCTGTTAGCATGATTCATTGTTACTTCAAAGACCCTTGTCATTGATGAGTTGTTTGATAAGTTCTTGGAACCAAACAATAGCTAATTTATAGCCAATAAAATACAATTCAATACAATCAGTATTTTGAAGATCCACCTGGTTTCTTTCTTTGTACCGATGTCAACATTTTCTATTCTTCTGTTTCAGATCAAAGTTGCGGCTCATTAGGCCTTGAAGTGGTCTCTCAACTAACGCAGCACTGCAAGAAATACATATCTATTGTACCTGATTTATTGGTGAAGTGTTATCTTAATCAGCCATGGTTATTTTGCATACAAAATTTGCTGGCTTCACAAGGACGTTACTGGTCGCATTTCTAATATTTGTTGTTGTAGTATTTTTATTCCATCCGGGAAGATTTGCTGCTTCCTATGATTTTATTGATAAGAGTGATATATTTAGGCATTTAGTGACTGTGCCTCCACCTGAAAATATTACAAAGCCATTGTGTCCAATGATTTCCTACTCAAAGAATAGCTCTCATGGTTCGTATTTGTTGGACCTTAACTTTAAAGAGTCAGAAATTAGTTCAGGTGGAAGGTGGGAACCTGCTAATTGTATTGCACAACATAAAATAGCATTAATTATACCTTACAGAAACAGAAAAAAACATTTATCTACATTTATTGACTATATTCATGGCTTTCTTCAGTCTCAATTTATCGAGTATTCTATTTATGTTGTTGAACAGAGTCCTAAACTAGCTTTCAATCGGGGACTTTTGTTTAATATTGGATATACTTGGGCTCTTCAACAAGAACAGATTCCATGTTTCATTTTCCATGATGTGGATCTTCTGCCAGAAAGTTTAGAAAACATTTATGCTTGCACTGATATGCCAAGACATATGTCAAGCAGTGTTAATACTTTCAGGTACAATCTGCCTTATGGCACTTTATTTGGTGGAGTAGTTGCCATGCTTCAAGCTCAATTTCAAATGATAAATGGTTTCCCCAACAGATATTTTGGTTGGGGTGGGGAAGATGATGACCTTTTTATGCGAGTCATCAACAAAGGCATGAGCATTGCCAGGTTTGCTCCTGATATTTCTAGATATTACATGTTACCTCATATCAAAGAATCGAGTACAGCTGAAAACACGCAGCAGTTGCAGTATGTGTCAGATTATCAAGATCGCGATGGATTGAATGATTATATCCGCTACTGTTCTGTAATTAAGGATAAACTTTTTCCTCTTTATACCCTGATCACTGCGGATTTGCAATTGCCTGTAGGGTATGAAAAACTGAACCAGTGATATTTGCTCCCTCTCTGATAAAACACTCATAACAACTACCTGTATCTTTTATTAATGTGTATTTCAACACGTTTTCTGTGATAAAATCTGATTCCTGTTGCGTTGCATTTCTAGACATTGAGTGATTTTGTAGCAGAAACTTTTCACTTAACTTTAGGTTCTTAGAGTATGATTTGCTGTGATTTCTTGAACTCAATTTATTGTTTAGTGTGTGTTAGTGTATAGATGTGACACTTCCAATACTGTGTATTGTCAAAAATTTTCTTTCGGAAATTATCTTGTGTCTGCACTTGTTCCTGTCTGGATTTCTCTATCGATCAAAATAAAAATTATTGTGATATGGTGCTTTTCTTATATTAATGTGCCCATGGAAAGTCATCAACCTAATCTAACTATCTCTCACACACATTCATTTCTTTGCCTCCACAAATTTGTCAGTGATTATCCATACGTATTATAATACCAATTTTATGATAGCCTTCAGAGTACCTAGCAAAGAGCTTTTAAAAGCACTTCGGAGCACAAACAAAAACCTCAGTCTGTGGTTGGTTTGAATTTCGCGCCGCACTGAGTCACGGGGAAGGGTGCCTTCATGTTACTTTTCTTCGCATAACCCAAAGTATGTTATTTATTTTAAAAGTTCCTTTCTGGCGGTAAGTGCTTTTTCCATGTACCGTTCTTGACGTGTCGCAAATTGAATCCCTGCGTCTGTACTTCTCTCTGAAAACTTCCCTCGCTGGGGAAGGGGCAGGTGGTCGCGTCCGGTCCAAGTTGGAACTACTTTTTTACAAAATTGGGAGGAAAACTGTTTTTAATCGCGTCTACAGTCCGTCCAGAGGCTACGCACTGCATTTTGGAGAAAATGCCAAATTTTGACAGTCGTTTCGCGCTAACTTGACGCATGGAACTGATTCCGTTGTGGGTGGAAGTGGAATTCCACCGCGGAATCTTGCGACGAAACGAAAGAATGAGCCAGTAGGATTCTTTGCGTTTGCGCACTGCAAAAATGGCTCTCGGACCGGAGCTATTGATTTTTAGGGACGGACCATAGATGTCCAATCACAAAACAGCTCAATCTCCCTGCGCACGGCCTAAGGTCAGAGGGTGAGGCTCGGCTCGCGTTATTTGTGTGTGGAGCGGGGAGAGCGCGGTGTGTTTTGACGTGGAAATGTATCGGCGTGCGTCGAGTGGCGTGCCCGACGGCGGACGGGCTTTCCTTCAGTATCTTTGCGGCTGTTAAAAGATGGGCTCCCCGTGAAAGAAAGAGGAGAATTTTGTGTTGTTCTCATGAAGGTAGCCGCCTTATTCCCAGAGTCTGCGTCGCTACGTAAGACAACGGCTGAGGCCCGACTCGAGCCGGGAAAACTGAGTCCCAAACAGTGAGTGGCAAGTCATGTGGCGAAGTGAATTCGAGAAAATTTCGTTGAATGTGGATTTTTGAGTAAGCTACGGAGTTGTTTCATGAAGATATGTGAAATGCCAGTGCAGTGGATTCTGAACTGTCGTCGGAAATCGGCTGTCACGCCTTAATAAAAATGTACGGGCATGAATCATCTGTGTTGGTATCATTAGCAGAAGATGCGGCGGCGCTTCCTGTGTTGTAAACAAACAGTGTTCTGCTAGGCTGCTTCTGCTCAAGGACTACCTCGGACTCACGCGTCTAACCTAGCGCCTTTGTTGTTATCGTTGATTTTAACATTGTATCGTAAAGATCAATTGACATTATTAGATTCGAAGGTGCTACACGCACGCTTGAACTGGATATACTTTGTTAAACGGTTATTTGTAGAGGTTAAACGGGATAAGGAGAAATGCGTTCAGGTACGGAAGCGTCGCTGCGTGCACTGCCTCTTTTAGTTTTCTGTTCTCTGGAAATGTTAATACTTTATTTGACGCCGTGGCCAATCATTTTAAAATAACGCCAGCATTTGTACCATCGTATATCATTGTCATCTATTAATAGTTCGTTCTGAACAAAATTTCAAACTGTTCACACATTCCTCACATTTGAGTCAAATCTTGCTTAGGACTGTTTTAAATTTCAAGGTTATTAATATTAAGAGTTACTATCTTCCATCATTCACAATAATGGTTTTTCTCGTGAATTCTTTGGATCTTTGGCCATGTTGATGTAATTGTCTTGTTCGGTTTAACTCATGTATTTACAATATTATTTTGTTTCTGTTTTCAGGCTGAGCCTGTCATCATATGATACTATGAAACAAGAATCACATGATGATGGCTATGAGACATGTGGAGACCTGGACTCAAGAGGGATGGGAAAAGACTTTCATAGCCACTCCCACTCCATGGGACACTCAATTTCGGAAATGGACCATCTTCGGCAAGTCAAATCGGAGTCAAAGGCTTACTACCAAGCGGCTGCGGAGCTGTCCCAGGCCTCGAAAGAACACAAGTTCATGGATTATCCGAGTGATATGCAGCAGTCCGGAAAGGAGAATAAATTCATCGACTATCAAAGTAGTGGGAGTGGTTTCGGAATGAAGTGCAACAATATGAGTGGACCTGGTGTAGACCCATACAGTTTTAGTGAGGATGTGAGCATGGGTGGTGGAAGCTTAGGGTGCGGGCCTGACACTGGAATGTCAGTTCTGTCTCAGCCGACATGCCCCTCTGCCCCAGTGCAATCTATGATTCCGCCCCAGTCCCAGTGTGGTGGGACGTTCCCACCAATGCCAAAGAAAAGAGGCCGCAAAAAGAAAATACGTCCAGGAGAGGAGGGGTAAGTGATCTCAATCAACTATGAATTGAAGTAGGATCAAAACATTCAGTCAGTGTTATAGATTAAACTATTTATTTCTTCCCTGCATGTTTGCTGTAATCTTTGTCCCTTACTTGAATTCAGAATCATTTATTGAAGTAGCAATCATGAATATACAATTACAATATACATATACAATTTATATTTTAACCCATCTTGATGCAGAGATACAATTGCTACAAATATTCAAAAGCTTTTTAAAAGTTTAACCTTTTGTGCTGCACATTAGTTTTTCCCGGTAAAGCTTTTCAACCCAACTTCATTGTTCATAATTGCAGATTCTCCCTCTGTTCCAGCATGGACGGACAGTTCTACAATGTGGTGGCTGGCAAAGACGAAAAGGTTGGCCACTTCAAGGAGCGTAAGAAGCATGACCGCTTCAACGGCATGACTGAGGAAGAGGTCCAGAAGCGAACGTTACCAGACCACCTGACACCGAATCTCGACATCATCATTGTGAGTAACCTACATATTTTTTTCCCCCGAAATTCGCCAAAACTTCCCCGAAAGTTGTCGCTTTTTTAGGCGCTCCTGAACCCGGCGTTTCATTCCGCTCCCTGTCTGGGGTGGTTTCCAGGCGAGTAGCCAAAGAACTTGTACCCGAAGTGCGACCAGCCTCAGCAGGTGGAAGTGCTCGTGGTTCGCGGTTCGGGGTTCTCGGTAGGCCGACGAGTTAACCGCATTTCAAGTCGGGTGAAAAGTAGCTGTTTTATTGGTCCCGTTCCTTTCCGGCGTCGCGCATTTTTGCTGGCTCCGTCCGTGATAAAGAAGCGGCCCCAGCAGCCGTGGGGAGGGGCGAGGGGCGGGCTGGGGCGGGCAGGCACGCCGGGGGAGGGGCGGGGGCGGCTTGGCCGGCTCGGCTCGGCCCGGGGGTTGGGGTGGAGTGTAGAGAGCAGAGCGCCACCAGCCCCTCGCCCTCCTCGCCCACTCCCCCTGCCCCGCCCACCCCCGCCCACCCCGCCTGCAAAGGCACGTTCATTAGGTTTGGAATTTGACTTAGATTTTTGTGCATTCATGTAAAAAGAATAGGGGTGGGGGCGGGGCGGTGGAGGGGCTGCGCCGCTGCGGCGTGGGTGGGGGCGGCGGGGGGGCGGGGGCGGGGGCGGGCACGCATTGAAGCTCACAGCGTTGCCTGGCGGTGCCTGCAGCCCCTGCCACTACCACCGCCACAGCGGCAGCGGCAGCAGCGGCGTCTGTACTGTGGAAAGGGATTTGCGCCGTGCAGGCGGGGAGGCCGGGGGAGGCAGGGGGAGGCAGGGAGGGAGATTGGGGAGTGGGAAGCAAAAGGGGAGCAAAGAGAGCGGGAGAGCAGGGCTGGAGCAAACAGGGTGAGGGGCGGGGAGGGGGCGGGGTACATTCTAATTCAAGGAGGTACTTGCGAGGCGCTTTTTCCCCCGCACATTTGCACTACTTTCCTTCGTCCCTCCCCGCCCCGCCCCGCCCCGCCCGCCGGCATTCGGGATATGTCTTTGAGGGTTCCCACTCCCCCGAGTCACACTCCCCACCCCATCACTCCCCCAGGTGTGGCGAGTGGAGTGGCAGTGGAAAATGCGCGCGTTGGACAAAGGCGCAGGCTGCCGGCTCGGACACGACACTGGCACCAGGTAGAGCCCTACAGTGGGCAGCACCGTGTAGTGGTTAGCGGCCCATGGCAGCAACGACGCTGTAGACTGATTCCGAGAGTCGCTTTCGTCGCCCTGTCTCTGTCGCACCTATGCGGAACGCCCCATGAGTGCGAGAGAGACAGAGCGACGAAAACGACTCTCGGAATCAGTCTGCTGGTCGCTGAGTGCGAGTGCGCGGTCTGGCTAGGGAAAGAAGCGCGAGCTTGGCGCCCAGGGGTCGTCCACTCATCACGTGACGCCTTCTCTCTCTCTCTCTCTCTCTCTCTCTCTCTCTCTCTCTCTCTCTCTCTCTCTCTCTCTCTCTCGCCTCTCTCTCGCTCTCTCTCTCTCCCTCTCTCTCTCCCTCTCTCGCACTCATTGACTGTCCGCAAGAAGTGACGAGGACAGAGCTATGGAACGGGCCGATGAAACATGCAGACGACTCCTAATGCGGAGAGCGCGCTTCTTGGTCGAGAGTCTGAGACGCCTCTGGAAAAATTGGTCGCGTGTGTGGCCCTGTGACGGACGTTTGACTAGTTCCGTCTCTCTTGTTCCCGAGATGAGGCCGGATGATGCCGCTCCCTCCCTCTCTCTCGCACTCATTGCATTACTGCCGCCGCCCTGCCCTGCCCGCACTAGTTTCGGCGCAATCAGCCCCAGTTTGTACAGCGGCGCCGCGCCCCCTCCCCTCCCCTCCCTCGGTTTTCTCACCCTTACCGCACCCCTCCCCTCCCTCCCCTCCCCCCGGCCCGACACACCGCCTCGCCCTGACCACTCGATCAATAGGGAGAAAAGTTGTAGAAAAGTTTTTCAAGTTTCGGCCCACTTCTTTCGCCTTTTGTAAGGTCAGTTCGTCTCACAGTGTGGCTGCTTGGGCGCTGCTGGCGCTGCTCGACTTTTGTCTCTGTCTGCCTCGCGGAACACCGGCGTCAGGGGCCTTCTCTCCCTCTCCCTCCCTCTCTCTCGGTCGCACCTGTTAGGACCTAAGCGAATTAATTATAACGCCCTCTCTGTGCAATTTATTTTTATTTCGGCTTGACGAGGAACTCTTTTCTAGTTTCACTTTTCTTCTCTTGGCGCTGCTCTGGGGAGCCCCCCGCCGCCCCGCTGCCCCGCCACTGGGAGTTATTACCCCCACCCCTCGGCCCCGGCGGCCCCGCCCTGCACACTGTGTCACACTGTGTGATGTGGTCCATTCAGTGTGACCGGCCATCAAGTCCGTGGACTCCCTGCGCCCCGCAGCCTCCAGCAGGCTCATTCCGAACAGAACAGCGCTTTCGTCGCTCTGTCTCTCTCGCACCCAGACGGTACCCAACGGGACGCGCCGCGAGTGCGAGAGAGACAGAGCGACGAAGGCACTGTTCGGAATTGCGCCCACCGTGCTCGACAGAGTGCGTTAATGCCTCGTCGCGTGCATTCGATGCATCGCCATGCATTATACATGCTTCCCTCTCCCCCCCCCCACACACAGTTGTCATCCCTTTTTAAATCTTCATTTTTTTGGTCCACGTGACGTTATGGATGTAGTGCAACAATTGTTCGCACGCTCTGGACGCCCAACCACACTAATACATTCATTCGAGTGTGATTTTCTCGTGGTGTGTGAGTGTGGACGAGAGAGAGAGAGAGAGAGAGAGAGAGAGAGAGAGAGAGAGAGAGAGAGAGAGAGAGAGGGGGGGGGAGAGGAGAGAGCGTTTGTGAAACCTTCTTTTTCCTTTTTTGAGAGGCTCGCCTAAGACTTTTTCGTGCGCCAGCGTACCCGAGAGTGTACCTCTGCACTGCGCTTCTTTCGCCACTTATGACCCTGCTCTCTCTCTCTCTCTCTCTCTCTCTCTCTCTCTCTCTCTCTCTCTCTCTCTCTCTCTCTCTCTCCCCCCTCCCTCTCCCTCTCCCTCTCCCCGCCGATCGCAAGTCAAACGTGGAAGGCACCCGTCCCTCGCTACCCGCGTGCAGCATAATTGTGTTGTCGTTGTCGTTCACCTCTCGGACCTTCGGGGTTTTGTTTTCTTTCCCTCGCCTTCTGGCTTCTGGCCGGCCGGGCATGGCTGCCGGCAGACTGATTCCGAGAGTCGTTCTCGTCGCCCTGTCTCTCTCGCACTCGCGGGGCGTCCCTCATGGGTGCGGGAGAGACAGAGCGACGAAAACGACTCTCGGAATCAGTGTGCTGCAAGGCCTGCAAGGCCGGCAAGGGTACCGCCCGGCGGGTAGGCAACGCGCCGCGCATGGCCGCGCCACGGGCAGGCCTACCCTGCTCTCTGCGGGCGCGCGGCGCGCCGTCGGGGGGTGGGTTGCGGGGTTGGGAATTCGCACAGTTTGAAAACGTCAGAGAACGGTGTCTGCAAAATTATGAAGGAGATGGAAAGGGGAGAGTTGTTGCCAAGAACTAACAGAACCCCTTTTTTTTTGTTCGGAAACAAGAAACTTTTTGCTTTCCTCTGCGCAGGTAAACATCTTTTTTTTTGCAAAACTGACGTTGTTTTTAAAAGAAAACAACCGGCAGTTTATTCTTGTAAGACACTGCACTTTGATTCTGGGTATTTAACAGTGTAGACCCTTCGCGTATTTAAAAAGAATGCGAAACCTGAGCGCCGCTTTTAACTGCACTTTATTTCGCGGTAGGGTTGTAAATGGCGAGTGTGTGAGCATGTGTGCGTGCGTGTGTGTGTGCCCCCGTGTGTGTCGCTCCCCGTTAGTAAGGTGTAAAGTTTGCGGACAGCGGAGACGATGGCTAGATTCACTGTTGCGTTTCGCGTCGCCCTTGCTGCAGAGAGAGCGCTGGGCGAGCGGCGCGGGGGCGGTGTGAACAGCCCCCTCCCTCCCCCTTCCCCTCTCTCTCCGTGCAGCCCGACCGGGTAGAATTTTTACGTCAAGCTACGAGCAAAGTAGGGCTGTGGCTGCAGCGGTAGTGATGAGGGAGGGAGTAGCGGGGCGGACGGAGAGACGGGGTGGCTGGGGGTGGCAGAGAGGGGCGGGGCGGGGCGCGGCGGGGCGGCAGGAGGGAATGAGAGCGGGCGAGTGAGAGAGAGGGAAAGAGAGACGGAGAAAGAGAGAGCGCGCCAGCCAGCTCTGAAGGCTGACGTAAAGGTTAGGTTGGGTATTCGCGGAGGGAAGTGCGAGGGGAGGGGAGGGGGTGGTCGCAGATGAAAAAGTGGGGGTTGAATGCGGGGTGCGCGGGGAGGGCTTTTAGGGGTTGGATGTTGTGGGAATAGATGGGGGTGGTTGGGAGATGGCTTGAGGGCACAGGGAGGGAGAGAGAGGGATGGATAAATTTGGGGTGGTGGTGGCGGGACGGATGGGAGGGAGGGAGGGAGGGAGGTGGAGGACGGCATAGCCGGCATAGCCAGTGGCAGAGCGCAGAGCAAGGCTCTAATTTTTATGGATTTTTTCTTTGAGACCATGCGCTCTGTTGCTGGCGGCGGCAGCTCGAGTGCGGGCGGGGCGGGGCGGGGCCGGGCCGCCCTCATGGTACGCCTGGATGGTACGGTACGCCCTTTGCTGGTACAACCCTGTGTGGTACACCCTGGTGGCGCTGTTGCGGGCAGGAGCATCTCAAAAAGATGTAACTGCACACCGAAACGTGTATTCGTCATCCATTATTTCGTCTTTCAAACAGAAAAGAAAAGTTCCCATTCAGCGGTTTGCGGTTTCGTGAAGTGCGCCCTAGCTGTTTGCCATGGTGGTACGTCCTAGCGGTACGCCCTCGCCCTAGCAGAACGCCCTAACGGTACACCCTCGCGGTACGCCCTCGCGGTACGCCCTCGCGGTACGCCCTCGCGGTACGCCCTCGTGGTACGCCCCAGCGCTGTGTCTCCACAGTACGCCCTCGCGGTCGCCCTGGGGTACCCCTGCGGT